TTTAAGGTGGTTGGGGTGGCCCAATTGAGCATGCTCTCAATCTTTTATGAGTCAATAGCTACTCCATTATGAGATATGATATGTCCCAAGTATGAAATTGTTTCCTGCCCAACAATGCATTTGCTTTTATTTACACAAAGTTGGTGTTTTCTCAAGATCTCTAGGACCATTTTAAGATCATGTAGGTGTTGGTGGCAGGTTGGACTATATATCAATGTCATCAAAGAACACCATGGCTGTTTTTCTCAGCTGATCTTTAAAAATATGGTTCATCAATGACTGAAATGTAGCTGGAGCATTACAGAGCCCAAAAGGCATAACTAGGAACTCGTAGTGATACTACCAAATATAATAATATGATTTAAGAATGACAATAATTTACTCCAATCTAAGTAAATAAACTTAGTGCAATATTCTTATTGCAAGAAATTCCCTAAGACTTTATTGTGGTATTCTTAAAAATCCAGAAGTGAAGTTTTTATTTAGTTGAAAAAATAAAATGAAGAATTAGAATGTTTTTAATCGAAATGAAATTTTCTATTGTAGTCTGATCTGATTTAATAGATATCTGAATTATGTGTATTTTACAACTGTCCAAATATAGTCTAATTGGTCTGGTGTTTTCTGTTTAAGTGTGATCTGGTCTGGTATAGTCTGAGACTGAAAAAGGTCCAAGTAAAAATATCCCTACAAATAATAAAATATACTATTATGTTCCATTGGATTTTGCCAACTTTTTATTTTTTATTATCCCAAAATTTTTGTAACTTTTTCATGAAGTAATTAATTTGTAGCTCTACTTATTTTCCCTCCCCTCTATACAAACTTTAACTATACAATCTCAGCTAACTCAAATATGACAAAGTCCAATGAGACAGATGTAATACTTCATATTTTATTTCCCTCCTAATTCAAATATGGCAAACTGGCAAAGTCTAGGGGAGAGGTAATACTTCATATGTTTTTATTTGGAATGTTTTAAGTCTCAAATCAGATTAGATCAAACCATTACAGTAACAAAATACATAGAGATAATACATCTATCAAACCTGATCAACTTAAATCAGACCAGATCAAATAAGACTATAAATTTTAATTCAATCAATAGTGTGGTTAGTAATTTTGTATATCAAATTGGATTAAATCAAGCGACCGTCTCTCCTCTTTGTAGGGGTTGAGATTTTCCGGCCACTGTAAATATGAGTTGGAGCGGCAAATTATACTGATTTTAGGTGTTTTAATGTTTGGGATTGCAACTACGGCGGAGGAAATAGCATTGGCAGATGAACGAGGTGCGACTGAGATGTTGTATCGAGGCGGGATCGTGAAGCCTTGATCGGTCATTGCAACGATGGTGGAGTTGGTATTCACCCATATCGTAAGAGCTCATCCTTCTCCAGAACCACCTCCATAACAAGAAGAGCTTTGTGGAAAGATTTTATTCGAGTATTCTTTTCTCCTTAGTAATAATTGTTTTTGTTTTAGTCCGAGTAGATTTGGTTCAAATGTTTGGATTTTTGGATTTCTTTTGATAGACAAGATTTCGGTTACGATTGTTTTAGACCTAAATTTGCTTATTTCAAAGTTAGAAAGTCATGTTGCTTTGTATGAGGTGACTAACTCTAAGTCTAGTCCTAGGGTTCACGCTTGGATCTTTAATTTCTGTCTGAAAGTTGTCTTGTATGCAGCGGCGGAGCAAGAAAAATGGCTTAGAGGGTCGAAACTTTACCTATATGCAGAATGAAAATGGTGGATCGTTTGTAAACGATGTCCGAGTTAAATATTTCATATGCAGTTTACATAAAGAAAAATGCTTGGTGTACACATTTTGGTAGGCCTGGGACCGGTTCGGTTCTTACTCGAAATTGGTGGAACCGTTACAAAAAATTTAACTAATGAAATCGGTCCGGTTCTTGTGTAAAAAATCAAGAACCGTTATGGAACCGAACCAATACTAAACGGTTCAGTTCTTACTTTTATCGGTTCCTCGAATATTTTTTTCCTCGTCTAATAAATGGGCACATTATTTGCTTTCTACCACATTAAAATGTTAAAAATAAAATCAAACACAAGTATTAAAATTTTATTTAAATTTCTAATAACTTCAAACATCAAAGCTCAAACTTAATTAAGTGAACACGTGATAGAATAAAAGAAAGTTTCAATTTTCATTTAATAAGTAGAACATGAAAATCTTAGTTAAGATATGAAGGTTGTTCATCATCACAGTAGCAAAATATGACGTCCACTCCAAGTATTTCAAAACATAAAAAATATATTGAGTTTGCATGTATAGTTATAGAATTATCACTGCAGTCTAGTTCTAGTAGTATAATTTACAATAAATCTAATAGAATTACAAATTTCACCTTTTGAAGGGCCCGAGCCCGAACCGCCATCCCACCGGGCCGGTTGGCCCGAACCGGGCCCGCACAGTAGCGGACTGGTCCGACTCCGGGCCGGTTGGCCCGGCCCGAGTCCACCCCTAGAAGATAGTGAAGTAAAATATATGCAATCAACTACAAGTTATTTGAGTTATTTTATATTTATAAAATATATGTGATTTAACGAAACTTGATTTTGTAAAAATGAGCTTAACGTATTCAAACTCTTGTGCGATATTGATTACTTTTGTTTTTGTTGGTTAAATTAGAATTATTGGCTAAATATCATTGATTGTACTATCACTACTATTTTTATTTTTAAATAACGGTTCCTTAACGGTTCCGTGCACATATTTTTTATAGGAACCAGGAACGGAACCGTTAATAACAACTAGGAACCGAACTGTTAACAACTAATCCCACATTTGTAGGAACCGAATCGGGTTATAACGGTTCGATTCCAACCGGTTCTACGGTTCCCGGTTCCAAAATCCCACCCCTACATTTTGGTGTACACTTTTTGTACACTCGACTGTCTCACGCACTCAGAGTTGTCTGTCCACATACAATTATGTAGAGTTGTTTGTGGACAGGCAATGATGTGTGCGTTAGACAGACGAATGTACGAAAGGTGTACACAAAAATGTGTACACCTAACACAACTCTTAGATAAATAGGCACTCATAGCAATATGATAAACTCTCTTTGTTTTGTTTCCGAGTCATCTCAGATAAGTATTGAGTGTATACCCTATTTTTAAAATTTGGGAAAATAATGTAGAGTATGCACCAAATTTTGCCGACTTTACGTTTAGATAGTGCTTATTTTCAGAAGTAATTACTTTTTACTCGTAATGAGCTACATGAGTCATAATATATCAAATCGAAGATATTTCAGAGCTCTATATTCTCGAGCTTTCAGCGGGGTCGGCTGACCATCCTGACCCCTGGCTCCGCCCTTGCTTGCATGTGTTCTCGATTTTAATATAACCACTGCTTTTTATAATAAAAAAATCAGATTAGATTAGATCAGAAATTACGGATTCCACATATGGAATGGGCAAAAAACAATCATTGAACGACACATCACAGAACAGGGAAAATAAAATTACTATCACGAGTGTATGAGTCTACTGCCATTCTACTGACTGAGTCACCGTGACTAACATCCCAACCATCATGTCAGTTCTTATACCGTGGTACCGGTGCATGGTGAGCACCATGCATCCTTTATTATTCATTTCTCATTTTCTTAAAATTGTTAATAATTTTATTATTTTTAATCCGATTTTATAAAATTTATACCAATTTTTTTTTATTTTTCATGATCTTTCAAATGAGACCAATATTGCCTATGTAATTTTAATTTTTTACATTCATACATTTTTTTGTAATATATTTTTATATGCATACATTTTTCATATAATATATTTTTTTATCACTTTTATATGTTTTAGAGGTTTTTAAGATATTGGGTTTGTTTATTTTGCTTCTAGTTTGGAGTTACATTTGATAATATACGAAGTTACATCATCTTATACTCCAGTTACAAGTTATTATGTGTGAGTTACATCTTGTTATGTGTGAGTTACATCTTGCTATACACGAGTTACATACTTTTATGCGAGAGTTACATGTAATTATGTGTGAGTTACATCTTGTTATGTGTGAGTTACATCTTGTTATACACGAGTTACATATTTTTATGCGCGAGTTACATGTAATTATGTGTGAGTTATATCTAATTATTTGTGATTTTTTACTTATCTTTATCTTGAACTAATTCAATTATAATTGAATTGATTTTTTTCTTTGTCAATTTAATACAAAATTTTATTAATCCACATAAAATAAGTATATTATATTTCATATTCATACACTATTTTTTAAATGATAAAAATGAAAGATGTAGCAGGGGTTTATTTCATGGTGTAACTCACATACATTAAGATGTAACTCGTGTATATTAAGATGTAACTCGCGTACAATAAGATGTAACTCGCGCAGAAGAAGATGTAACTTCATGATATATTATCAAATGTAACTTCAAAATAATTTGTTAAAATTACATAAGCAATATTGGTCTCATTTGATAGATCATGAAAAATAAAAAAAATTGATATAAAATTTATAAAAATCGGATATCAAATAAAAAAATTATTACTACCTCCGTTCCTATTAAAACTTCCAAATAGGTTTGGCACAGAGTTTAAGATAGTGGGTATTGTATGGTGGAGAGTTGTGCAGAGGAGAGAGAAATGTGTAAGAAATATTGTGAACCACAAATTCTTTACTAAAAAGGGAAAGTGGAAGTTTTAATTGGAACGGATGAAAAAGGAAAGTTGGAAGTTTATTTAGGAACGGAGGGAGTACAATTTTTAATAATAAAAGGGAAAAAAATAATGAATGCTGCGTCGTTTTGGGATCAGGCCCACCATACTCATGATGTACTGATTCCAGGGTATAAATTGCGTCATCATGTCGGATCGGGATGTGGCTCCTGGGGTGGGGTGGGGTGAGGAGATTCCACCTTTGATGGATCAAAGGAAAAGAAAATTACTAGTACTTCTTAACAAATACGGAGTAAGTAATAAATTACGGAGTAATAATGTGGGTAGTATAGTCCTAGTCAAGATCTGTAGGACAATATTTCGGGTGTGCGAAATAAATTTCGAATTGCGCCAAAAACTGCCTCTGGAAATATCATATTTGAGCAGAATAAGGTGATCCGAGTTAACCCTATACCAGATAACCCAGATTGGCGCCTGCAGCTGACCTCCGCCACTGCTTTTGACCTCCAATGCGAAGTGCCCCCAGCAGTCCAAGCACGTTGCCTCTGAACTCCAGCGACGTCATCTCCCCCACGACGCAGTGACCCCAGGGCCTTCGACCACATTAGATCAGGCAGGTTTGTGCAAACTTTTATTGGGTTTGTTCTTGTTCCGGTCTATCCTTGAACGCCACTCTCAACACCATCTGCCACAACGTCTGAGCTCTAAAAGAAGCATATTTGGATCATTCTGGTTGCTTGATCAACATAAAACTTTAGTCTTTGCTTGGATTAGAATAATTGAAGTAGTTTGATCAGCCATTTTTCTTTCTCATAGTTAATCGCCAGTAGGTTCGCCTTTGAGAATGTTGATCCTGAAACTAACTTCTTTTGAGCGTGTGTCATCCCACTTTGTTGAGTTTGTTCTTACATTTTGTTCAACCATAAAAAAGTCAGGCTCTTTTTAGATATCCATCAAGAGTGTTAGACTATACTGTTGTGGCGCTTAATTAACCGAGGTTCTTTGCACAAATTTGTGCCCGCCTTATTTTCTATTTTCAATGGTAATACTACTCAAGTTAAACTTAATTAGACAAAATGCTCAGGACCCAACCCTGCCGGATTTTCTATTCTCCTCCCAACTATTACAATTTCTACATGAGAGTTTTCTTAAAATAGTGTACTACATAATATACTAACATCTTAAACCCTAGGCCACCATTTTTTAGTTTATTAGGGCACAAAAGCTCTTCCTGCTCATCAACCCGTCATACCTATATTATCCACCCTGGCATTTTGAATTAATATTTGATGGAAAGTGCTGCTCTTGTTCTTTATGAAAATCATTGAATCAAATAGTTCCAGATATAGTGCCAATGTCCTTCTCTTCATTGGACCCTTTGTAGTGAGTAGTGAGAAGGTCCGATCAAGTTATCACCCCTCACTTTACTTCTCTTGTAGGTTTGGAGAGTCTCAGCTTTGGTTTACAATAATACAACGTCATTTGTAACTGAATAGCTGCAATGCATTATGCACAAACCAATCTAGTTAAGCTACTTATTTATTTTCTGTTCAAGTTATTTAAAACCACCCAGTAAAATCTAGTTTCATAAAATTTTTGAACTGTTAGTTTTTTAGTTCAGCAATGTCTAGGTATAGCTTTATTTTAATTCTTTGAAAATGAGGTTTTACGAATATTAATGATAGAGTAATTATCTAGAGAGAAGTGAGAGCTAGAGGGAGAAGTGCAATAAATGCTTGCAATAAATGATTTGTGAAACCCCTACAACTACCCCAAGAGGGGTATTTATAGGGAAAATGTGGACCGGGCTCCCAAGTCTTGGGCTTGGGAGGGCCATTTACAATTGGGCCACCACTGGGCCGAGTACAAAGTATGTAGAAATGACTAAATATGAAATTCAGCTCTGTGAGCTCTCCGTGGCCGACAAGGGTCTGGCCGACGTAGACCCGGCCGACGGAGACACCTGGTTCTCCTGACTTCTGTATTATGTTCTGAGTTGATATCTTTCTGGCCGATGGAGAGCCATCTGGCCGACGGAGGCCCCACTGAGTGACAGTTGTGCCTCTTATTCTTATGAGTATGTGGGTCCTGAGATCTAGACCCATATACTCCATCAATTAAATATGGTCCTTTTGTTTTAAAAAGTAGCATACAGTATTCTCCCTTACGGTGTATGTTCATCCTTCCAAGTCTCCAAAAGTAGATTTATGTATTTGACTCGTTTCTTTTTTGTGGCAGCTCGCTAAAATGGCCAATAAATTTCAAGAGAAGAAGTGCCCTATTAGTAAGATACTTCCTCAATGCAAATATTAATACTTTCCTTTTTATTATGTGCCTATTAAATGTACACTATTAAATTTGCGTCTAGCGTTTTGGACATTTTCTTCAATGCAAATATGAAATAATCATTATTTTTAATAGCTTTCTATATTTTATAGTTTTCCATCATTTTCAATGGAGCCAAAGACTCACTATTTTTGGCTTGGGAATATGATGGAATAAAGAAAAATGGCTCACTAAACTGTCTGAGCTTCTTTGTTATGAAGCAACAGTCAGTCAATGCAATTTTCGACGCGTTTTTCATCATGGGTCATCCGGAAACAGTCTCTTTGTGCTTTAGTACAAGGGTAAGGGTTCGTACATCCGACCCCCCTACCCCACCGTAGGTGGGAGCCTTTGCGGCACCGGGGTAATGTTGTTGTTGTTGTTTCTATATTTTATAGTACTTTTATTTTTAATATACTATTTCATTGGCATCCATCACTTTGAATACTGAGACTTGTAGTATGGCTATTATATCTAATGAATTTATTTTCCCATTTGACTTTCCTTCAGAGTCTGATTTCTTTGTAAAGACTTCGGAGAAAAGACATCATAAGAGACAGCAATCAGAACATTTATGCCTTGGGTCAGCTGAAGAGGATGGAATAAGTTGTCCTCCCACTGAGCTAGCTTCTAGTATGTTCTCTTATTGGACCCATTTTTGGCAGATTTCTATAATCAGCAAGGCATGACTAGTTATTTGTCGAACCATTAGTATTTTCCATCTGGTAACCTTTTTTTAAAGGTTGAAACATGAAAGGTATATTTAATCTATTAGGTATATATTCTACCACCTTTTTTCAAGGCTACATGCCTACATAGTATTTGGGTTATCACTGTTCCCCAGTCCATACTTTTTATTTGGAACATAACTTTTACACGCGGTTAAGTGTTATATTTCTGGCTAATATTTAGTTGTGCAAAGCGGACATTTTTATATTGTTTACATTACCTGTTGGTCTAGTGAACAAAGAGTGCTGCAAGTAGAATGAGTCTAGTTTGTTAAAACTAATCTTCTCTACAGAATATGTTTTGCCTTTTCTAGTTATTAGCACTTCTAGTCATTGTCTGTGCTTCATTGTTTGAAGGTAAACTTTCCACAGAAAAGTTCTGAACCGTGGAGAAATTTTCAGATAAAATTGCTACCCCTTTTTAATTGGAAGTGAGATCAATAGGGTGGAAGTAGGGTTCAACATTGCCAGAGTGACTGTCTGAGATATGTATGAAATTTTGTGAATGGAAATCCAACCTCTGGACCAAATAGTCATGTACTACTATCTATTGATAAGGAATAAAAATTAAGTATCAAAATATATGTGCTGCTCTAACTAGCATTGTTGCTTATATACTCTATATTTTTTTCTGAAGATATGAAGACTCCAAGAAAGCAGAAACGTCGAGGTAGCTCTACGCCCGAGAAAAAATTGAATAGTGCAGAGACGCAACAAGCTAGCTCTACACCAGATAAAAACCTTAGTAGTGCAGAGAAACGTCCTAAAAGTACTCCAAAGAAAAGAGGTATAAAAAGAAGATTGATGGACACATGCATTGTGCCAACATCGTGTAGCTATATGAAGGATGAAGTATCATCTAATATGATTCCTGATCTACGGATGGAAGCTCAGAAGACAGCTGAGGTTAGTAGAAGCTTTTTGTCTACTTCTCCTTGTACTTGAAATAGTCAAGTGTATAGCGAGGGAATACAGTAGGGTATGTAATCTGAAGTTTCATAGAGGAGGTACATTTGTGGACCGTGTGGAGTTGCTTGTTTAAGTTATCCCATTTATTCTTTCCCTAGTTCCTGAAGTTACACGTGTTGAATTATATTCTTTAGCATTTGATAGAAAGGAGCTTATTCTATCTCCCTGCCTTATTTTTCGTGAAATACTAAAATGTAATTAGGTGATTGCTTTATTATTTTATTACTTGTATATATGTCATGAAACATTTATGTGTTCTCCACGAAATTGCACCATTTTATTTTACTTTATATGTTGTTTTTCATGGAATCTCCTATTTTTTCTTTCCCTTCAGGAAAACTCACGTATATATGCTGGAAAAGAAATTCATCCATTTTTTTCATCATGGAAAATCGGTAAGCGAAAGAGTGAGGGGGTCAATTTGGAGCGAACTTGGTGCTCTTCTGATAAAGAGGAAAGAAATCTTACCCTCGTCCCCATTCATGTGTTGCAGACAGTCGAGGTATAATTTTGTGCTTCATAGTTTCACCTTATGGCATTTTTGGCAGTTAAAGTGATGAGTCATATGTTTGTGTGATACTTTTTTCAATAATGGATTCCTTGATATATAACATTATAACATATACCTATGCAGGAAGACGACGTCACCCTTGATTGGCAGCATTGGACATTTTCTGAAAGATGTATTGTAAGTAGCAGTTACATCCTAGAAAATGGATGCTCACTACTTAGTGAAGGATCTGTTAGCTCTCTGCAATTTGATACGCTCCATTGTCCCTCTAATACATGTATACAATTACCATACCGGTATGAGATTAGTGTTGATCAGCACTCTGCTCCAGACAAGGAAGCTTGTTTTGTTGGTTCTCCCAGGGAGCCAGATGTGTTGCATCCAACATCTCCCATCCATCTGGCTGATGAAACAATACTGCAGGTTTGTTTAAACAATTCAGAGGCTTTAAAAAAAATCAGAGGCTGTAAATGCTGATGAGTTACTGGCGTGGTTTAATGATATTGAGTCATATGTTTTTTCATTTTCCTTTGAGGTTCTGACTTTTGAGTTAACAGGACAATGAAATTGGAACACACAGCTTCTTCGTGAATAGTTCCAGCTGTTTGAGCCCAGACCCCGAGAAACATGATAAACTTCTTGGAGGGTGAGCTCACTCCTTTCCATTACTTCATACGAATATGCCTGATGTTTTTTCAAAGTGAAGACCTAGTTAGCTGATTAATCCTTGCCATGGAAATGACTGAAGTATATAAGCCCAAAATAAGCTGGCCCGAGTTGCTCTATATATACCTGATTTAGTCTATCATTTAATAGGTCTATTCGGATGAAAAAGAGATTAAAGTAAACAAATCACTTAAGCCGTAATGGGTGTTTTCCTAGATTGTCATGCAAAAATAGTTGAATGTGCTTAATTAAACCTTAGAAAGTTGAATGTTTTTGTTTTATTTATTTATTTATTTATTTATGTTAGAAGTTTGCTATTCTTGCTACCAACATCAATGTTTGATTGCTATTCCACACAAGAGTATTGAAGTCTGTGTTCTGCTTTTTGAATGTCTAGGGTGATGTCACAGAACCAAATTTTGCACAGCCAGCCCGAAAATTGCCTATGGACAAATAAATACCAACCTGAAAAGGCCGTGCAGGTGGAACAGCTGATATATGGTTATGCTATTATTATTGTCAGACTGTCAGCTAACTTTTGTTTGAGAACATATGTTTGCTTAATCTAGGAAGTCTAAGTTGTTGATTTTCTCATATGTCCTAGTTATCTTCTCCAGGTATGTGGTAATGGTGCATCAGTGAAAATTTTGAGCGAATGGTTGCATTCTTGGTATGAAAAAGGTTCTGAACGAAACAAGGATTTCACATGTAGTGATACATTTAAGGACCTGGAAGCTGGTGACAATATTTACCTTAGCGACTGTGAGTCAGATGACGAGGACATAGAAAACCGTCTTCAAAATGTTCTGTTAATTACAGGACCAGTTGGGGTATGTGGATGCTGGATAGTTGAGTCTCAATTAGATACATGTTTTTGTTAGATATATTACACGATTGTATTTGTTTCAATACGTGATAGGAAAACTGATTTCGTAACAGTGAAACAATCACTATTATTGAACAGAATTGCAGAAAAGAATAAGAAGGTATAGACAGGGCACTTCGAGAGGCCTCAACTCTCCCAGATCCCAATTTCCCAATTCTAAAATCTGCCTCCCTTTATTCTATTCCCAGCTACTATTTATAATACTTTGTTTACGGGCCGGCCCATAACAAAATTAATACCAGACCTAGACCCCCTTTAACATAATAGAAACTATGTAACATTATTTTATTATTATTATTATTATTATTATTATTATTATTATTATTATTATTATTATACTAATAGGTTCCTATCATATCTCCCCCCTTAGACAACCACCTTGTCCTCAAGGTGGGTGATAGGAAACAGCCTTAACTTCCGACTTCATCTTCATCCTGGCACCTCTTCCTTCCCAATACATCTCGAATTTCTGGACCATGATCTTCATTACTTGACCCTTCATCACCCCTTTTGAACAAAGCTGTCCACAACCCGGTTTCACCAGATTCTCTTCAGAAAGAGGTATGCTGTAACTCTGGAGAACATAATGATTGTTCTCTTGCTCAGGTTTCTTGGTAGAGCAGCAAATGTTCTCATAAAATTGCAACTCTCTGGGGTTTGTCAGTATGAAAAAGGAACAGAGTTCATTGCTTTTCATATCACAAACAATTGGTACTGTAATAATACCTCCAAACAGCCTCATATTTTGCACTCCTGCACCCTCTGTGTTTGGCTGTAGCCTATTCTCAATAATGTGGTGAAGATTTTGACCAGGTCCTTGTGAAGCATTAGAATTATTAACATTTTGAGAAGTGACAGGGAGAACTCTACCAAAAACCTTGTTGGAGAATTCCATAGAACCTTTAGAAGCATCAGAAGCTGGGCATCCAAGAGAAACATGAACTGCAGTTGGGCCAATTTCAGGTCCAGCGACCACTGACAATTTCTCCTCGTTTTCATTGTCGCCTTCAGTGAACTTCTTTGCATTTTCTTCAAATTGCGAAGCACTCATTGCATTTTCTCCAAATTGCGAAGCACTCTTAGCGTCGGAGGAAGGTTGCTGCAGATTAATGACTTTCAAACTGAGCTGTGAAGCTTGTGAAGTGAGAGACTCTGCTGGCGATTTCTTCTGGTTTTCATTGTTGCCCTCAGTGAACTTCTCTCCATTTTCTCTGGATCGCGACACACTCCTATCTGTAGAGTAAGATTGCCGTCCACTAACAAACTCCTGTGGGACTGATGAAACCTGCGCACAGTGAGAAGTGTTTTGCGACAAAACCTGTGATGAGAACTGCGAACTGAGAGAAGTCGGGCCTTGAGCCCTGAGAACTGAGACCTGCGAACTGGTAGACTGCAATTGCGAAGAAGTTCGCGATTTCGAACTTTGAGATGAAGATCGCGAAGAAGAAAATTTCGATTGTGAAGAAGAAAATCTCTGAATCTGTTCATTCAATACGGCCATATAAGTCGCGAAGTGGCTCTGAATCTGTTCGTTCATCGCTGTCAGAGAAGCTGCGATGTTTTCCATTTCCGTCCTCTCCCGTTCCGACGTATGAACAAGGTTTTCCATTTTTTTTCTCTCGTTCTGACCATCCACCTCTGTAACGCAAACTAGGTTGCAATCGAGATTCAATTTCCGATCCCCAAGAGCAACTGCTCTGATACCATTGATAGGAAAACTGATTTCGTAACAGTGAAACAATCACTATTATTGAACAGAATTGCAGAAAAGAATAAGAAGGTATAGACAGGGCACTTCGAGAGGCCTCAACTCTCCCAGATCCCAATTTCCCAATTCTAAAATCTGCCTCCCTTTATTCTATTCCCAGCTACTATTTATAATACGTTGTTTACGGGCCGGCCCATAACAAAATTAATACCAGGCCTAGACCCCCTTTAACATAATAGAAACTATGTAACATTATTTTATTATTATTATTATTATTATTATACTAATAGGTTCCTATCAATACGTGAAAACCTTTACATATTTTGGTTTTAAAAGTTTAAGTTGAACAGTTATTACAAAAGTAATAATATAAGTTTCTTATAGTTTCCAAATATTGATGGTTATAATTTGATTGTGGTGACCGGTGAATAACTGACGTTTTTACACTGCAGTGTGGCAAGTCTGCTGCCATATATGCATGTGCAAAAGAACAAGGGTTTCAAGTCATTGAGGTACTGCTAAAAAAGTTATTAATATCACTTTCCATCAATCATTTCATTGTTTTGGACATTAAAGGTGCAATGTACTCGATACATAATAGTTATATAGCATCTGTCAATCTTATCTCTACTTCTATAGTCATACATGCACATTTAAATCTGCTCTGTTGTCAGATACTGCACTGAAGAACAGCTTGCACATTTAAATCCACTCTGTTATCAACGATTGAATCATTCTCTTGGATTTTATCATAACAAACAGACAAGTTAGTTTTTAATCTGCTTTACTCTTAGGTCAATGCATCTGATTGGCGGAATGGGGCTCTTGTTAAGCAGAGGTTTGGGGAGGCTGTAGAGTCGCATTGGATTCAACGGTATGTATACTAGGTTTGGGTATGTATGTGTACATGTCTGTCTGATATATAAATATCTATTGTGTGCGTGCGTATTTTTGAGTTTTAGATGGTAAATTGAGCATAAAACCCGGAAATAACTTGATGAAATGATTAAATAGGGTAAAAATTAATGAATGAACAAGTGCAAAAATATTAAAATGAACATATGAATGATAGATTGACTCTCAGTATCTTGGAATGCGAAAAGTTTTTCCCTTTGCTCAGGTGTTACCCGTGTATATATAGCAGCTCCCTAATGTTCACACTCTTAATCACATCATTAAATGAGACCATTAAGGCTCATTACAACAATAACAACATCCAAGCATTTTTACACAATATTAATCTTATCAATGAAAGCAATTGTCTTATTCTTGACCGTTGCGCCATCCTGGATGAAACCATGATTTTCGGTCTTCAGCTGTCCAGTTGACCAAACGGTAGTGTTTGGTCTGACTGAACTGCTTCTTCAGACTGTTCAGTTTCTGAAACAATCATGTTCATCATATACACATAATATTTACATGTATACTTGTTATTTGTGTCAGTGTGTGTACATGTGTGTCTGTAGATAATTACACAGACACACACATGTGTGTGTGGTTTCTGAGAATAAGGAGTATTCATATTCTATTAATGGTTACTATATATTAACTGTAAAATTCAAAATTAAATGGTTGTGATCACTTTATGCTGCATTTAGTGCTTACACTAAAATATGTGACCATAATTTAAGTTATAAAAATAGTATCCATCCATGCTGTGGTACTGATTCAAACTCTTCCACATGTGCGTGTTTTTGCATTTCGAGCATGACAATCAGCCAATTACTCATAGATTTGTTTCAAGCTGAGCAGGCTTCTGAGCCTTACCTGGACACTACATGAAGCTTGATGATTTATAAATTTTGGGCTTTTCTAAATTTTAAGTAACAGTGTCATCAATATGCACCAAATGGTGCCTTACTGCCACTCATAGTGCAGAACCAAAGATTGAGAAATAGTGCTCTATAAAGATATCGGCACAATCTTGAAAGGCAATGCGAGTTTGTCCCTGTCTAGAAATTTGACCCCTCATTACTCAAAATTAATAATATTTTATACCAAAAAATTATATAACGTCCTTCATTGTAATATGTATTATTCAAATGTCAATTTATTATAGACTTTATATGTGTATATTAATAGGAAATTACGGTCAAACGTCCGCCTAGGAGACCGCAAAAGTCAAACTGTGATTATGCTTGGTGTAAAAAGTGTCATATTGCATTGTAACGGTGTTACTAATGTTGAAAATATACGTGACTAATATGTAAATGTGATATTGTTTATTGATACAAATGTTATACGCTTGGTGTAAATGTTGTTATAAATAATGTAAAAAACGTGTGAAATGTGTAAATTGATTTTTGGTATGTCCCTAAATAAAGTCCTTTTCCTTATTTGGTAAATAAGATCTTATAAAGTTACTCTACTACCTTCAAGTAATAATAACTGCACAATGTTAAACAACATCAAAATAGTGCACTATATAGTACTCCCTCCGTCGGACTAAGATTGTCCCATTTTACCTTTTCGGGAAGTCCCACTAAGATTGTCTCATACCAAATTTGGTAAAGATTGTGTGGCTCTAAATCATTCTTACTTTATCAATTTAATATCAACCACACAAACCCACTTTTCTTAATAATCGTGCCACCTTCTCTCGTTCCAATCTTAGTGGGACGGAGGTAGTAATACTGACCTCAAGAAGGGCAATTGAAGTCAATCTGATTTCTGCATACTCGATGAAGGTAAACTGAGAACTTCTTTAAAGTACAGCAGTTGTATATTTTTAAATAATGGAACAAGACAAATTTAGTTGGATTTATAATGTAAAGGTTTTGTCTAAAAATAGGTTATGGACAAAAAGACAATTTCTTTTGAGTTTCCAAAAATGTGACTAATTTAGTCCTATATCTGGAAAGTTCTAAATGCATATTACGAAATTACCCTCCTAATGTCTAGTGACACCATCTGGCAGTGATCACGGCTGGCCAGTGACCACCGTCAGCCAGTGACTCCGACCTCTGTGACCAATGACCTAGTGACAAAGACACTAATGACTCCATGGCCAATTGACCCATCACCCGTTACTCCACCGCTCCAGTTACACTTAAACTGCTCGGGTCTTTCACAACTCACACGGCTCCGATACTGACCTATTTTTCCGACAACCCACCGCCCCCGGTGACCCACCAATGATAACTCGCCAGCATCCGTTCCAGGCTTCCAGCGACCAACTTCTTGCCCCGTTGACCCATGGTGACTCCACCCCACTCTTCTCTCCACACCTGCCCCTTCTGCCATAGTCACATTCCAAAACCTTCCCGCCACTGCTCATTACTGCCAAGGTCCACAACCCTCACTGCCCAGCCCAAGAAGTCAGTGGTGGGTGACAGATCCGTTGCAACCGTCGCTGCCAGATCTGTTGTCCGGTACAACCATTGCCGCCAGATCCCTTGTTTGTTGCAACTATGACATTGCCGGCTGCTAATTGACGTCAAAGAATCTGCTCAGCCACCAATTTAGGAGCTCCTAGGTGATGGAAAAGCTTTTTGTAGCTGCTGGTGCAGAAGTTTGCCACCGCCTATGCAGAAATTCACAAGAAGGAGAACTCCAGTCGGTGGTTGCGGCGGTTGAATAATTGCCGCGGTTGAATAGCTACAGCGGTTGAACAAGGTGCTGACGGTGCTGGTGTGAGGACAGAGAAGGAGGGTGTCACTGAGAACCGCTGAACGATGAAGGGAAGAAGGGGGTCAGCAAGAGAGAAAGGGTGAACGATAGAGGATGAATAATGAGGGCAGGATTTATTCTTTAAGGGCATTCCAGTCCATTCATTAATAGTTCTCTTTTTTTGTCCAAATATAAATTGGTCCTATTTTTGTCCATTGAAAAACCTATGGTATTATTTATGTCATTATTCCTAAAATAATATGTAATCCACTGGAATTGGATAAACATAAGGCAGTGTTCAAACAAGAGTTGCAGACTTATATAAAAACAAATACCAAATCCTTTTTAAAGCTGGAAAATTAAGTCGTGAATTGAAGAAGAGAAAAATGTAGATTGATTCAAAATTTAAGCTGAATACAGGATGAAGTAGAGAAACAGTAAATAGATTCTTCGTAATTTGAATAGGAAGAAGAAGAGAATTGGAGAAGAGAAAAATGTAGAGCAGAGGGTACAAAGAGGAAGAACATAGGAAGGTGAAAAGGAAGAAGGCAGATTTACTAAATATGATGCTGAAAATGTTAGCGTTTATGGGATGGGTGCAGCGTACACATGCTGTACTGATCCAATCCCACAGTATAATATGCTCCAATATGGAGCAACCAATGCTAGTAGAGAGTCAAATATGAAGTAGAGCTCTATACAAGAAATTAGCATGAGTTAAGGAAAAGGAAGTTTGTCCTTTCAATAAAATTAACTAATGATTGAGCAGTGTCAGGCATTCCGCCATGTGAGAAATGGGTGCATAATAAGTGACTGTTGAGTGTTAACTTCTTCTAGTTTCAATGTCATTCAAGATACTCTTAACCTTGAAGAATTTGAATATATTTTCTAAAATTCTGAGTATGATGGTGAGGGCATTTCGTGCAATGGTCTAGAAACAGGGATTCTATCCATCTCATGCATTTGGGATGCCAAGCTGCACTGCACAACATGTCAACATGTCTTGCAGTCTTTTTGTATGTGATTTCTAGTTACTATACTGCATCCCTAGCCGATGCATTTCTTGTTCTGTTCAATCTTACCAAAGGGTGAAGGCACTTTGCATATCTGAAAATGAAAATAAAAACTTCATATTTTTGTTCAGTACTTCAGTGTCTGATCATATTTCTACACGCCTATCTTGGTCTTGTCAACTTATGACTAATGAATTGTCCAGCTTCAAAATTTTGTTTGGAGTGATTATGGGCATATTTCTACACATGAATACTGGTTCTTACAAGCTTATGCTTTGTTCAGCTTATAATAAAATTCTCAATGGTTTTCTTGCTAGAAGGATTTCAACTTAACCTCTCAACTTTGTTTATTATTTTATATGGTAATGTGACATGTGTTGCCTTTCCAAATAAATAATGACATTCTACATTCTTGTGGAGATGCAGTTACTAATGTCATGATAGGTTCCTGCAAGTTTACTAAGCGGTTATTTCCTTAACTTTTTATTTTCATTCCAGTACACAGAAAGGCACTACAAATGCAGAGGACAAGCATCTAGTGAGTCTGTTTTCAGCTGCTATGACAGGGACTGAAGGGTCTAGGAGTGAAGTTATTGAGCTGATACCATCACTACATGATGCAGATTCTCAAATTGCCAGTGCAACACCAAGAGACCTAGTTTGCAAGGACTCAACTAATAGCCATGGTGGCCTTAGAACCTTAGTTTTGTTTGAGGATGTTGATACTGCTCTTTGTGAAGACCGCGGCTTTATATCTACCATTCAACAACTTTCAGAAACTGCGAAGCGGCCAATGATATTAACTAGCAATAGTAAGGCGTTTTATGTGATTTAAGTTTTATTCCTGATGAATCTGATCTTTCAAAGTTTACTCATTGCTTTGAGTGCATGTCATAGGTGACAATCCTGTGCTTCCGAACAATTTGGATAGGCTAGAGCTGTGCTTCGCAGTTCCACCTCTGAGGGACCTCCTTGCACTTGCACACATGGTATACTTTACCTGCCCAAACATGTCAAATGTATTTGGTTTTTGCTTTCATCTGGTTGTCCTCAATAGTACTTTTGTAGGTCTGTACCGCAGAACAAGCTAAAATTGACACTTCATTGGTAGAGAGATTTGTCAATCACTGTGAAGGAGATATTCGCAAAACTATCATGCTACTTCAGTTCTGGTGTCAAGGCCAAATCTTTCGGAAAGGTAATTCCTAAAAGGCTGGCCCTGATCTTTTGAATAATAATCAGCACTTTCTAGATTAGTGTTGTACTGATATTTTTTATAACCATTGAATGTGCGCTACAGAGTGGCCAGCTCATTTGCTTAGCATTACCTACCCATGAATTTAGCGATTCCATGTAGTCGAAGTAGATAATAATTTCATTATGTGGATGAAATGCTTCAAGGAGTGAAGGAACTATTCTTTTTATTATGACATGTACTTTTGTTAGAGTAGGGTGTTTATTTCAGCTAATCGAAGCGGTTCTAAACTGTTTTATTGTTGCAGTCAGCAGAAATAAGAAGAAATAGATTTTAGTGTCAAAATTCCTAGAAGTGGTTCTTGGATCCTGAAACTAATTGATTTCAAAAGCATCTCAAACCATGATTCTAAAAACTGATTATCATAATCATGTTGTTAATAATTGAGAGAATTCCCGAAATAGGAGTAAAAGTGTTTTAGAATTCCAAAACAGGACTTCATGTTTTTATTCCTTAAATAGGAGTAATTATTGCCAAATTCGAAAAATACTTTCATGTTTAAAGTCTGCTTTTGCCAAAGCATTGCAGTAATTACTCCTAATTCGGGAATAAAAGCATGGTAGTCATATTATGGAATTCCAGAGCATTTTTACTTCTAATTAGGACAATTTCCCTAAATAATGTTGCTTCAAAATCACATCACAAATGCAGCTTTTCTTAATACTTCAATCTGATTGTTTTTTACATTACGATATCAATCTCAAACACTTCAATTCTCATTAGAGCAAAGAAGTCTAATTTCACTGATTTTTAGATAACTAGAATCTATTCGGCCAAGCAACTTCTTACACCGACTCATTATAGCAACTCATTGCAGCACTTTTGTCTGATTCTTCAGTACTTCCTTGAACTCGCCATTTATTTTAAGGTTATTAGCTTATTATATCCCTAACTATCATGAAATTCACAGATCTATCTTATTATTTAAGTTTAATTAATAAAGGACTCAAACTTCATCATCTGTAAGAATTACACTTTCGCGTTGTGATTTTTCAAAATTACAAATTTATATCAATCAAAATATTTTTTATACACTTGAATCAAATTATATAGTTTTTATTCATTATTAATTCTATTTTTTCCCAAGAATTAGCAAGAACTTGAATGAGTTAATCTCATCTTAAAATATTAATCTTATATAATAATCTATAGCTTAAAATTTTCTAACAAAATTTATATAATTTATATAAATGATACTCTAACCTGTCAGTGAATTAACTAGTTCATATATTTAGTTCTTTTATAGAAGTTGCTAAAGTAATTTAATCACTACTGTTTATTGTTTAATAACATTATTTCTTACCAAGAAAGCTTTGAACTTTTTTTTATAGTTGTATGTTACAATTTCATATTTCTAGTTATATTTCATATGTTATGCACTATAATTTGATTTATTGTAAGTATTATAAATTTCACCTTTCCATCATTTGCAATGGAGCCAAAGATTCATTATTTTTTGGCTTGAGATTATGATGGAATAAAACAAAATGACTCACTAAACTGTCTGCGCTTCTTTGTTATGGAGCAGCAGTCAGTCCATGCAATTTTGGACGCGATTTTCACTATGGGTCATCCGGAAACAGTCTCTCTGTGCTTTAGTACAGGGGTAAGACTGCGTACATCCGACCCCCCCTTACCCCACCGTAGGTGGGAGTCTTTGCGGCACTGGGGTAAATGAAAATGAAATGATTATAAATTTCACCACTCTCATAGATCGATTCATGTTACCTGACCCCAAATTCTTTTGGGATTAAGGCTTGGATGTTGTTGTATTATAAATTTCACCACTCGTAATTTTTTAATTCTATAGTAGAAATATGGTTTTGTATAAAAAATTAAGCACTACGAGTTTTCCAATTTAAAGTCAGAAAGGAATGAAAAAAACGAAATAGAAATAAGTTTTTCTTCTTCAATATTTAATAATTAATCCATTGAAAATGTAATTGTGAGAAAACTTGAAGTTCGAGTCTTTTTGATGAAATTTAAAGAATATGATAGATATGTGAATTTGATAATACTTGAGAATATATTAAACTAATAATTGTTTATTTTATGCATCAATTGTTACATACTTGCATGCATCCCTAGAATAGTATCAAGAATTCAATTATGAAAGCTACATTTGGCTCTACATCTTTCATCAGTCCACGCTTTATGTTTGTGCTCCAACATATTGTTGACTTATTGCAACTTGAATATACCAATAGAAAATAGAAGAATAAGACATCTGGAACTAATGGTTTTAGTTTAGTCTTAGTTCTGCCTCTTCTAATGGATTGGTGAAGGTAGAATCCCGTTAACCTTATGATTTATTTTCAAGCTGCTTGTCTTTTGTTCAGATCAACATTCTGTTTCGTCAAGCAGTTACCATATTTTTTCATGATATGATCAGGTAATGAGGTCAAGACATATAGGCCACTTTTATTTGACATTGATGCTGGGCATCTAATGCTGCCAAATTTGATACCTTGGAGTTTCCCTTGCCCACTCTCTTTACTTGTTGATGAGGAGATAACTGAATCTATGAGAATGGAAGAAGACAGCTTTAACGTGGGGAATATAGCGGAGAAAGAAGAGTTGACTGGTTGTAACAACCAGAGTGTTTTTTATGCATCTGAAGATCCAAACAGTATAACTGCCAAAAAGGAAGCAATGTTAATTTTGCATGGTTTGCCACTGGATAAAAATGCACTTACACCCAAGTTTGAGAGTAATACTGAGTTTTCTAATCACTCTGGATCACCAGTTGCTTTCTTTCGAAGACATACACGGAGAAAACTTGATACTGTAATGTTCTCTGATTCTGATGAGGAGGGCTTGAGCAGCAGAACCCCAATTGATTTAAATGAAACGCCATGTGATAATTGCGAAGAAGCAAATGAAATGATGGTCTATTCTCCACCTGTTGAGTCGCCCACTGAAATGTACTGCAGTCTTATGAGTGAGCCTCTGCATAGTAAACGAAAAAGATTAAAAAGGAAGTGTTCCAAGGCAGATGAAACTTCTCATCCAAATGGTATGAGCATGTCATGTGATTTTTCTTCTGTACCAGAGTCATCATTTGTTCCAGAGTCCATCTTCAGTATTGACTCAAAACTAACTTCTAGAACAGAATCCTATATTGATGTTAATTACAAAGTTAAAGCAGATTTAGCAAATGGTGTACTGCCAAGTAGTATGCCTCATCAATATGACAAGCTTGACGCAATTGTTCTTGAATCATGCAACAATCATGAATTACTAGGTTGCAGTTCTGATATAAACACAATGCCAGCTTGTTGTGGCGAAGCTAGTCAATATACTGAGCAGTGTGTGGAAGATTCTTCCAGAGCATATCAGCCATTGGATGAGTGTAGCCGCATTGACTTCAATTGGAGATCTCGATCCTTTGGAAATGATAGACATCATCTATCGTGTAGTGCTGTGCAAGAAACATGGAAGAAACTTCGTAAGGGGCACGTGAAACTAAGAGAATATGTCACCTCAGATCAGAAAGACACTTGTGAGGTTCTTAATATTGGTTATAGATTGAGTAATTTAATCTCAGAAGCTGATTTATTATCTAATGACTGCCAGCAGCTTATCTATGTAAGTGTCATATAGTTACACGTATCTGTCTTAATTTTCTTTTATGCGCATCTCTTCATGTTTTGTCAACATTCCTTCAGGACTCTTTGGATCCTTCTATTGTATCATGTCATAAATCACAGTCCTATAGCTGGGATGAAGATCAGCTGCAAATGTCATCTATTGTTGCTCAACATGGAATATGCCTCTTCACTAAAGAAATTGCCAATTTGGGGTTGGATAAGTTATCTGTAAATCAGTTAGATTTGACATCAGAGATGTTAGCATCATCTAGTAGCACAATGGCTCTGGGCAAGCTGGTTAGTTTTGACAGTAGAGAAACCAGAAGCACAGATGTATGTTCACCCAAAAGCTGCTATCGTTCCAAAAGGTATACAATTGTAACATATCTTCTTCACCCAAAACCACACACATACAAGTACGTAATACAAAATGAGCTAGATCATTACAACTACGGATAGTCGGATACACTAAAGTTAAGGAAGTTAAGTTTACAAACTCACTATATATCTAATACTCTCTCTTAAGCTGGTCACATACTGATGGCAAAGGTGTATCCGACTTCGTGCACTTCAAAGTGCATGAAGTGTGACCTTCTCTTTTTATATGTTTCGATCTCTACAGTGTTACCATTTATGAGTTATGAGTTATGACATCTATAGTTTAGGGAACCTACATCAATTTAAATGCTTGAGTTTTTATAATGATTGAAGTATCCAAAACTTTTTTGTGCATTACCCCTGAAGGCCTAAAGCCCTCTGTACTGAATCTATCTCTGTGGTATGCAAAATCCCTTACCATATCTCCTCATTTTGTTTGTTATCTCCTCACTTTTTTTTGCCTCCTGACACTAGTTTTGCCTAAAATTATAAATATAACTAGACATTAATGTTCTTATATGTCATTCTTGATCTGCTCAAACAGAACACATCCTTCATTTCAATTGCACATTTTCACCTCAACATAGTGCAACACTACTAGGCACTCTGTATGGTCTATAATATAGGGGGTGTTTGGATTTGATTCTTAAAAGTGCTTCTGCTCCTTCAGGGAGCAGAAGAAGAAGTTGGAGTGTTTGGGTAAAAGTGCAGAAGTGATTCCGGTGCTCTAATTTACTCCTAGAATCAGTTTTTTTAGAAGCTGGGGGTGACTAGCTACTGAAAACTGATTCTGATTCTGCTTCTGCTTTAAAAAAGAAGCAGAATCAGAATCAGTTCCAAACACCCCCATAATATAATACAAGACTGAAAATATCATGTCCTGTGTCACTTCATAATATAGTAGAACTTGGCCTTCGTTGAATTTGCACCAGGATATAGTGCAATGGATACAATCACTATAAGGCTTGCTGATGGGTATACTAATACTATAATAAGAGTATAAGACTGAACAGTTGTTTGACCTGTGTCAGTAATCAATACTTCACTGCTCTCTTACACTGCTGCAGGAAGATCAGCTCAGATCTTTTAAATACACTTCAGTTGGCAGTTCCTTTGCGGTCACTTCTTTCACTCAGAGGTGGTGCATTTTTCGAATATTTATCTGCTTTGAGCCGCATTTCAAGATTAGAAGCCAACCGCTTGTCAGATTTCGTTGGCAGGAGTAAACAGAGAAGGCAAGTGTTGCATTCTTTGGAAAATGTCTAAATTTCCTATTTGGAATACTACACTCATACTCAGCTTAATTTCTGCATTGCAGGGCACGTGTTGATAGACACTACTTGGCTTCTGGTGGATTATCTTTATCGACTGAAGATATTTCCTTGCTAGGTCAATACAATTGCTATCGTCATGTATCATCCAAGTCCGACAGGACCGAGACTGAAGTTTGATTTATTATTATTCTTATTTTGATATTTGTGCTAACCTTGATATGGGCTAGAGAGCTGTTAGCTTTTCTTAATACATGGCACATTAGCTGCGCAAAAGTTAGGAACATGTACATGTATCATTGATTTCATCTGCGGTAGGCAATGGCCTCAGCCTCCCCATAAAGCTATTAGGTTCCCTTAGTTTTGAAGTGTATGATCTCTTTCATTGTAAAAGTAATTGTAGAATATTCATTTGACTGTCTTTTAATGTATACATTCTACAGTGAGTTTGACAGCACAAGTTGTGTCAGTCCGGCTCCAATTTGTTCCCAAATTGCAATTACGCAATTTTGGTCTCTTTTTTGTTTTATAAGTGGTCTTGAAAATTTTAACTTGTGACTTCATTTTGGGAACATACTAAATTGCTAATTCCTTTTTTTTTTGAAATTATAACCCACTTCAATAGTTAGAATAGCTGTCACAATTATTAACTTTCTCATAATAATATAGTATAAAATTATAAAATGATAGTGAATGTTTTGGAATAATATCTTCATTAAATTAAACAACAAAAATCAAGGTGAGGTAAGATTGCTTATTTGGTATTTTTATGTTTACTAATATATTTCTAATGATTATATTATGTACCTAAAAATCTAAAATACAATTTTTCATCATGTTTTCAACTTATACAATGAGTATGTATATACACATTACTCATGAGATGAACTATTTCTGACAAAAATTAACTTCATTCAATATTCATGCAATGCATAGGTTGATTATTAGCAAAACAAATACTTCCTTTGTTCTTTTTTAAATGCAACATTGGACTTTAATAACTATTTACATGTTCTACTTTGACTCTATCTTATTCATTAATGTATTATAAATTAAATTTTAAAAAATATTGTTTTTGGGCCGATAGAGCCGTTGGGGGTGGGGGGGGAGGGGGGGTCCGGGCAGTTTGGGGGAGGGGGGAGGGTGGGGGAGGGTGGGGTTGGGTAAAAAAAGGGGAATTTGACTTTGCACCTCACTTTTTGGGTGATATTGGACTTTGCACCCCATTTTGAAAAAACTTTGATTTTGCACCCCAACACATAACATTTTGTGAAGAAGAAATGTCAATGGGGTGCAAAGTCAAAGGATTTTTAAGTAAAATAAGGTGCAAAATCAAAGTTTTTTGAAAATGGGGTGCAAAGTTCAATATCACCCAAAAAGTGGGGTGCAAAGTCAAATTCCTCCTAAAAAAATTATAAATACTCATAATCTTAAACATTTTTCCATCTCTTCTCCAACTCTTCCTAAATCCTACTCTCTAATTATCTTCATCTTCATGTTCTCAAATTCTTTCTCCAATATATTATATATTTATATATCTACTTATATTATTTATCTACTTATAAATACGTATATTATATTACTTATATTTCTCATCTACTTATATAGTTATATATTAATTATCTATTCGGTTAATATTTAGTTATATATTAATTATCTCCAAGATGGAAGGTGGTAGATATTCAGTTGATATGGGTAACCTCGACCGCAACCGAACGAACGAGCTTACGAGGAAGAGATCACGCAAAGGTAAATCACATATCGGCTCTTCATCTCAAAGTCGAGATGATTTTGATACAGGTTACGCAAGGAGGGATGAGGATGCGATGACCGACGAACAACTAGAACAAGAATTGCATCGACATAATAGTCGGTTTTTCCAAGACCAGCCAAGAAGCATATTAAGTCATGTGACAAAACCGAAGGGCCGGGAAATTCTGATTGATTACAAAATATATTTCATATTGTATTTTTCTCAATTGTCAAATGTAGTTCCTATTTCATTTCAAATAAATGCACTTAAAGTTTGTTTTTAATACTTGTATAAAACTATAAAAAATAAATAAGTAAAAAAAATTGGATTTACCCAGCCCGACCCGGCCCGGGGGTAGCCCGGCCCGAACCGGAACCGTCTTTACCTCGGGCCGGTCCCGGGCCCATCATTTACAAACTGGAGGCCCGACCAGGCCTAGGCCCGGCCCGGGCCCGAACCAGCCCGAGTCCAAGCCTACTTGTGCGTGGACAAATGTGAAAAGTGTACCGTTGCATTTAGAAAAAACAAAGGAAGCATTGTTATTCCATTTTATGTGTCTTATTTTGATTTGGTACAATTATTAATTAAATGGTTGAAAAGTAAATGTTGTAGTAGAAATTCTATACAAAGTGAAATATTTTAGATCACATATTTCTTTTTAAAAGAAGAATATTTTAGTGAAACAATCCAAAAAGAAAAGTGAGATGGATAAAATAAAACCGAGAGGGTAGCAATTATTTTTTCTACATAATTTCAACACTCAAAGTTTGATACATGAGCTACTTAACCAGAATGTTTTTTTAACACCGCTTATCTAGTGTAACGTTAACATTTAAAAAATAACGCTTAACGTTTATTGATAATAATCCAAGTGTCGAAAACGATCCCCTCACTATCTAACTAGACGACGTGGAAGAATTCACTCTAAAAAGAGTGACACTCTTTGTTGGACATACGAGAGAATCGAAGCAATAATCGGTCATAAAAGCTAAAATCCTTACTCCCATGATAACAAAACCCTCAAAATACCCACAATCCACCCACATCACACAAGAACTGTCCAAATAAAACAACACAACAAAACAACAAAAGAAACAACTATGAAAGAAATAACCAAAAATTAAAATGGTCAATTGCCCTGCCTATCCAGTGGCCTCTTTAATTATTATCATTTGACGAGTCACTGCCACATGACCCGCCTCACCCCCATTTTTGGAGGGACATACTCCACCTCCAAGAAGTTACTAAAATGCATTAGCATCATATCCTCCACCATCTTCCTCTGTCATGAACCAGTGTCCCATTGTCTTCCTCCCCTTGTCTTCAGTAGTCTATTTCCCTTCTCATGCACCATGTTGTGCCCAACCAGATCACACTCAGAGTCTTTTTTTTACTGCGACTAGCCACCTGTTAACCTCACCTTTAAAAAAGGATGACACTCCATCCTTGAGGGCCCCCAACCTCGAACGGACGGTACGTTGGAGGATGTAAATTGTACTATAATCTCAATCTGACGGATAGAGGTCCTATGCATTTTAAGCATAATAACCCCTCATCCCAGTTAACCTCATCTTTCACTCTAGCCTTGGATGCTATGAGCTATGACCTAGACGGACAACTGGACAAGCATGCCCTTCCTCACTTTTTTCTATTGGACATGGATAGAAAGTTTCTGTGTGGCCAAGAATCCCACACAAGAAACAGAAACGAGGAATGTTTTCATATGAGATATTGACCCAGAAGCTTAACCCTCCCCTTTCTCCAACATTAGCCCTTTTTAAAATGGTTTTCCGATATCTAAAACCACCCCGATTTGCATGAAGGGATTCCATAAAGTTACAAAATTGTGCTCATCCACTTTTATAAGTGTCTCTCATCTATTCCCAATTCATTCAGTTGCGTCTAGAGTAAAATAATCAATTGATAAACCATGAACTTGCACGCAAAATTCTACCCTATTTAACGGAATAGACAACTTAATATCCTCTTCCTCGAGTTTACATAAATTAAATCGATAAGACTTTGGTAAAACAACCAGGGGCCCTCGTTGAGGACCATGTTAAGATCAGCCTCGTTGATAAAACCGAAACATATCACAACAAATTATTACACATATTCCATATAGTATGTCTTTTTAAATATAGAAAAATGGACATAAATAATCTCAACTATTAGTGATTTGTTTGAAATAATCCCAACTGTTGAAACGAAAATCCCAATATTGAAAAAAAAATCTCAAAAAGTACTCGAGTGACTTATAATAACCTGTAAATGACTTATAAAGTTATAATATTTACAAGTCACATGATCATTTTGTGATTTTTTTTAATTAGTTGGAATTATTTTCAGATAATTGATACTTTGAACGATTTCAAGTAGATCACTGATAGTTGAGGTTATTTTTGTACATTCTTCCTTTAACTATTTACGATAAGTGATTTACATCTCAAATTTTTCAAACATCTTAAATTGGGTTTATATTTCAAACAACACGACCAATATCAAACACATAAGTCTGAGTCACTTTCTCATACAATAGAAAATTATGCTTCTACTTTTATGTTTTTGAGTACAATCATAATCAATTTCAAACGTCGTCATATCACCTAAATTAGCGACAACAGAGGATAAGATTGTACTTTTTGGGTACTTAGATAGTTCAAAACATCAAAATACTTCTCTTTTGTTGGTCTGGGGGTAACAAGTAGGTAAGTACACACATAAATAGATATATTGAAAGGGAGAGGGAGAGAAGGTGCCAGAGATTGCTTTAAAAGAAGAGAGTTGGTCAGGTACAAACTTGCACCATAGACAAGCATGACTTTCTCAATCATCAGTTTCAAAACATATATACAATGAACATGCCCAAGCTAAGAAATAGAATATACTTGAAACGCCTAGGGAGGCAGATGTTGATCTAGACTCTAGAGCTTTAGTTGAAGTTTTGGTCTCTAAAGTTCATATTAATCAAAGTAAGACACTTGTAAAATAAAAATAAAATGAAAGTTTAACGGAAATGATAACCGATTCCATTAACCTGAGCATCTTCTTCTACCGCGGCTTACATCGTCAGAAGAAAATGAGAGAGTGCATCTCGATTCACATCGCTCGGGCCGGAATCCATGTCGGAAACTCTTGCTGGGAGCTTTAATGTCTCGAGCATGGCCTCGAGCCATATGGCAATATGCGCAGTGACACCAGCGTCGTCGGTGGACATATCACTGATTAGTGACCAGATTTGTCACTCATAATAAAATAAATCGAATTAATAGTTAGATAAATAGTTAATTAGTTTTTTACAATTTTTTATTAATTGCTACATTTGACTCTAGTTTAAAAATAATGTTGTACACAAAACTAGTTAATTCACTACTTAATTTGCTATAACTCGAATTAATAGTTAGATAAATACTTAATTAGTTTTTTACAATTTTTTATTTTGCTGGTTTTATGAAGGAAAAGTTTTTAAAATATTATTCACATATTCCGCATATTTATGGTATTGCATTTGTTCTCGATCCTCGTTTTAGACTTGGTTCTTTAGAAGAATGTTTGAATTATTATTATGCTGCTTTTTTTGGTCCATTGCCAATGTATGAGGACAACCCAATTGATCCGAAAAAAGAATACAACGAGGTTAGTGATATATTTTATGCATTATTCAATGAGTTTCATGCACAATATGGCAATGCGCCCCCTCCCCCGACACAAACATCATCTAAAGGAAAATCAATTTTCAAATCTACGTTTGCCAATCTTATTAAAAAAACAAAATCAACTCCCGCTACACAACAAAGC